TGCTGCGGTACTACGGCGCCGGCGGGCGCGTAAGTGCCTGGATGGGCAGATTGGGGGCATGGCTGGGGGGTCGGGACCAGTCCTCCCGCTCTGGGGAAAAGCTGCCATTTCAGTCCCCCTTGCCTCGGCTCTGCGCCCCTGGAAAGCCGGGATTTCTCAGCCGCGGGCTGCCGGGGGTACAGCCAGAAATGCCTGCAAGTCAGGGCCGCTTTCTCCCCTGGCGTTCTCTCCTCTCTCCTTCCCCCTTCTCCTTCTCTCCTCCACTTCCTCCGTCTTCCTGTTTCCTTTCTCTTTTCAGTCCCTTCTCGGGCCGCGGGTTTCCCCCTTCCCTTCCCTCCCTCCCACCCCCTTTTCTTTTCTCTCCTTCCTCCTCTCTCATCCCCTTTTTCTCGCCTTTCCTGGCTCCCCTTCCTCCCTTTCTCTCCCACTTTCTCCTGCTTTCGCTGTCGGGTTTTCTACTCGATGCAGCTGAGCGTGCGGCACGGACAATAGCCGAAAAATAAATAGTCATGCTTTGCACAGAGGCAATGTCGGGAGGGCTCGCCTGGAGAAGGCAGTTGCTGTGCATTGGAGGGGACTTTAAAAGTATCCTAACTTCGCACCCCTTTGTCCGTCCCCCAAAATAAGATTTTTTTTTTTGGCTTCCTAGGATATTTTAAAAAAAGTCAATCGGCCCCTTTAGCGACCGGGTCTGTGTGCTAACGTTGACAAGCCGCGTTGCCACCCATTCTAGCGCTTACCCGCGGGGATCAGGGGGAGGCGGGAAGTCAGTCGGCATCTCTTTTTTTAAAACATTTTTGTTTGGAAAAAAGAATCACCCAAGTTGGCAGGGACAGGCCGGGCCGGGAGGCCTGGGGCAAATCCTTGACGACTGTCGAATTGGGCCCTTGGTTAGGAGGCAAAAAAAAAAAAATCTTTGCCGTGATGGTGTTTTTCTGTGCGGTTGGGAATGGGCAGGGTTTGAAACTGACGATTCTGCCGCTTTTTTAAAACATTTTTGTTTGGAAAAAAGAATCACCCAAGTTGGCAGGGACAGGCCGGGCCGGGAGGCCTGGGGCAAATCCTTGACGACTGTCGAATTGGGCCCTTGGTTAGGAGGCAAAAAAAAAAAAATCTTTGCCGTGATGGTGTTTTTCTGTGCGGTTGGGAATGGGCAGGGTTTGAAACTGACGATTCTGCCGCTTAGAAAAAAGTCTCCGCGGCTTTAATCTGAACCGTGTGTGGGGGGGGGGGG